TCCGCCCCCTCCGCCACCGCCACCACCTCCACCACCACCCATGAAGTTCCCTCCTCGCCCACTGCGACCCTGCGGTGGTCCCTGCGAGGATTCAAAGAGAACTACAGCTTGTAAAACTTCCTCAAAGGCCTTACTAAAAGATCTCTGAAGAGACGGAATAAACACCAACACAAAAATACCCCCTCGGCAGTTTATTGGATCAGTTGAATGGATTGTCTGAGTCTTGCACATCTAGCCAGCAGGTCATGGGGTTGCACTGTGTTCTGTTTACATACAGGCTTTGGAATAGCTCTTAACCCCTTCGCACCGGGAGGCGGCTATAGCTGCCGTAAAAATTGAGATCCTCAGCCAACTTTTCAGCTATTATTCTCGGCCCACGCTCGAGCGAACATGATAAAAGAAGCAGACCCTGGCTCTTGTAAATATGGTAATTGGCCTTTGTGCGTAGCCCAGAAATGAAAAGACCGATTTTGCATCATAATCACCAGCTTCACAATAGTCCCCACTTTGAAAAGAGGCAACGGGAATGTGGAAGGGTGAGTAGAGCCGCATGCCACCGAACAATCAGCCTTTTCACTGTGTAATTCAAAGTGTCCAGAGCACGCAGGGCCACAAACTGAGAATTTGCGGTTTGGCAGGAGGTCTTCGTGGCCAAGCGAGGCTGGAATTCTTGGAGTCGGCTTTCGGGAAGAAATTCCCGTCGTCAAAGGGTTAACAACTCATCACCTTTCGTAAATGATTACTTTTTTGATTCATTTTTTTTTATTTCTGCTTTTGGGGTAAAAATGATCAGATTATCTGATGTTGGCCATTTGCCGAGGTCTTTTTGACAAAATCTATTGAAATCAGCCACATCACGACGATCTCTGTTGGGCAAACTTTCACCCCTACGTTGTGCATTTTCATCCGGATGCCGCGATGGGGGTGATACAAACATCGGAACAGAGAATTCAACGCTGCTCTTTCCCATGCAAATTGACACAGACTCAACAACCGTATGGCCTTTACCCCTCGTTCTGTGGGATCCAGTCATAAATGCGATTTTCCGGGCAACTCCAGTTTTGCACTTCACTTCACAATCAAAACATGAGCACACAAAAAAATGAAGGGTATTAGGGTACCCTCTGGGGTTTCTTGGTATCTGTAGTTTCGATGGCCTGTGCTGCCAGGAAATCATCAACGTGCATGGAGGGGGGTCGGCTGGTGTTCTGGGCACGCTGGCGGAAGAGGTCATAGCCCCGACCACTCCGACCCGGCATCTGACGGCCGTAGTTGGAAGATTGATCTGCAGAATATAAATCAAACACAGCAGAATGTTAGGACATTCGAAGGCAAGATCTACAATGTCTATAGTTTCCAACTATCTCGTCAAATATATTTTGTACTCAGCCATCTAATATTTTCAAAATAGATAGATTTTCAATAAAATTCACAAATACACATGAGTCCTTGTCAATTTTTACCTACCAACTTTTCAAAAATCTAATCAGAATTTGTAAACAAAAGTGTCTTCAAACGGTCCATAAGGAGCAACTTAAAGTGTCTTTTCAAAGACTCTGTAACCTCCACGTCTTTGACAATTTTCAAGAACCCATTCTGGATCCTCAAAGTCCTCAAAGTATGCAGGAAACCAATCGCACATCCTCTCTGCTCAAAACGTTTAAGAGGCATTGACCGCTCTGTAACAAATTGGCTGGGCTCTCCCTTTCAAATATCCCCCCAAAATCCTCCAAACTTGTCCCGGTCAATTTCAAAGGACCAGGGGCAGACAGGGTGTAAAGGTAAGAGGTGACGTACTATGGGCTCTCTTGATGCCGTAGTTGAAGCGGTACTGGGATCGTGAGGTCAGGGACTCGTATCGTCTTCTACCACTCCTATAAAATGAAAAGATCAAACTGACACACAGCTCAAAGGTGTATGAAGGTTCAAGCATGCACGCAGCCTCCATCCAGCAGTCTACATCTGCTTCTTCCCTACTAATACCAGTTCCAGTTGCATATCACAGGAATAACAACCTCAAATGTGGACATTTTAGTAGAAACATTTGACCAGACGGGGGAATTTCTTAGCCACTTGGAAAGTTTTTAAACAGTTGTCTAGATAGAGTTTGGTACATCTTTTATGGACATTTTTTAGTAGAAATGTGCTGTCCCAGTCCCTTGCACTGCCATTTCAGTTGAAAAAACTCAATTTCACGGTCTTTGACCAATAAAGAAACAACCTTCCCAACCACTCACCCAACAAAAAGGAAATTGTGAAGACTGCTCTGTGCCATGATCTGAAGTATTACGTCGTTAAAGAATAGCCTGTGGATTTGCAGTAATTGTGTTCCTGAGCAGGGCATTTTGCCCAATAAATGCTTCTCTCCACCCATGAGGAAAGGGGAACCTTGGAGGGCAAACACGTCATTGATTTTTAATAGCCATTTGTGCCTGAACTGCCAGCTGAAAACTGTACGCCCCTCGAGGAGATGTAACAATTTAAGGAAAATGGATTGTGACTATGTGCTTTACAAATACACCTTTTATCAAATGTCATCTCCGTCGGATTCTTACCTCTTCTTCTGGTCCTTTTCTCGGGGTAAGTTCTCAGCACTCAGATCTTTCTCCAGTTCTGCTCTCAGATCCAAGTCGGGTAAGTAGGTCAACCGAAGTTCCTCCAGGTCACATGGAACCTAAAAGGGAGATGACACGGCGTCTTTCATTCCATTTCATTCAATTTCCCACATGCAGGATAGAGTCACTGACATAAAAACAACAGACTATTCAGGAAACCCCATAAACCACATCAGAAGTTTTCTTTTGAGAGGTTATTTACAAGTACACAGTTTTGAATCAAACACCGGGAGCAAATGGGAAGCCAAGCATAGTGACAGGGTACAGCATGTTATTTAAAATGAACCACCTCACACCAATCAACAACTACGGTTGTCACGTGCTGATTATACCTTGAATTGCAGAAATTCACAAGCAAGGCCAATTCACAAACTTGTGGATAATTTTGGTTGGCACAATAGTGCCACAAGTACCAATTAACGGAGAATGAGGGACTAAAACCAGATGTTTTCAATGCTGTGTAAGCCCTCATGACATCAGTTCTAAGTTAATTACTTTTCAGATGAAGCAACAGCACTTTTTACATGCTTCAAGACTTTTTCTGGCCCACTCTTTTCAAATTCTCCAATAAAGGTCTCATCCAAATCTTATACCCCGATCTGGGTCTTATAGTATTAACTCTGGCCGCACACTGACAATAAACATAGCCATAGTTTTGGAGGACCACTTCAGACCCAGCCAAATGGACAGCCTGGGAACCATCTTATTTGCACTCTCTTTTGAGGCTGTTCACTCCAGCTCAAGCCAACAGGGCATTTACCATATCAGGCTCAATGTCCCCATCGTCGAGCCCCGGCGGCCCCAGCCAGAAGCCCGCATTGAGCCGGTCGTCCTCCCCATCCCCAATAAAGAACACCATGCGGGCGCTGAACTGCTCCGAGAAGCTGAGCGGGGCCGGCAGGGTGACCTCTTGCAGGAGCAGGGAACGATGAGACTGACCAGGACCGGTCTTGGCCGGGTCGGGCTCCTCGGGGGAGTCCAGGGTCTGGATCAGGCCGCTGATGCTATCCAGGAGACTCTCCAGGATCTCGTCCTCCTTGCAGCATTCCTGATGGTGAAGAGACAAAGGGTCAAGCTGGAGCTTAAAGAAATCCTTCGAGTGAAAACTGAGAGCTAGTTATGTCTCACACTTAAGCCCTGACGGTCCTGAATCCCCGAAAATCCTCTGGGAGGTTTCGGACGCTGCACGGTAAACTTTGCATTGCTGATTGTGAAGGATGCATTGTCTCAAGGTTTTGGGTTGTCTCAAGGTTGTGCATCATTTATGCTCCACCATGCGTATATTCATGCCTAGATTGCATGTGAAATCATTCACACTGCTCCAGGACACTATTCACACTGCCTGAACATAATGGCAGGAATTACCAGAAGATTTTGAAGGATTGAGGCAGTGGACACCCCTCCACAAAACAAATTCAAGAACTATCGGAGGATTATGAAGGATTGAGGCTGTATCCAATTCTTCCACAGGGTAAGTACAAGGATTTTGAAGGACTGAGGCTGTCTCCAATTCTTCCACAGGGTAAGTACAAGGATTTTGAAGGACTGAGGGTGTATCCAATGCTTCCACTGGGTAAATACGAGGATTTCAAAGGACTGAGGCTGTCTCCAATTCTTCCACAGGGTAAGTACGAGGATTTTGAAGGACTGAGGGTGTATCCAATTCTTCCACAGGGTAAATACGAGGATTTCAAAGGACTGAGGGTGTATCCAATGCTTCCACAGGGTAAATACAAGGATTTCAAAGGACTGAGGGTGTATCCAATGCTTCCACAGGGTAAATACAAGGATTTCAAAGGACTGAGGGTGTATCCAATGCTTCCACAGGGTAAATACAAGGATTTCAAAGGACTGAGGGTGTATCCAATGCTTCCACAGGGTAAATACGAGGATTTCAAAGGACTGAGGGTGTATCCTAGCCAAAAGGCACTTGGCAGTTTGGGCTAGTTATCCGAACCCTGTATCCTCATTCAATAAGCAGCTTATGACACACTTATCAACATTTAATATTTGTACCTTTCCTTTATCATTGGCTGGTGTTGCTTTTAAGCACCAAATGGAATGGCACCACAGAAATCACATTTATTATCATTATTCGTTTTAACAACAAAAACACTCAACATAGTTTTTCCAGACAGATTTTAACATTTCTCCATCAAAGAATATCAAACTAGAATATCGGGTCCTAGAATAATTTTCCAACTTTAAGCCCCCCAAAAACAGTTCAGCCAAAAATGAATAACAATCAGCACTCTCAACGTTCACTCTTCCTACAAACACCCACTTTTACAAATCACACTTTTGCTCATAAATCCAAATTTGCTTTACCGTAACAATTACAGAGGCGCCAAAATGCCCTCAAAATGGCACAACCAAAATTGAAAATCAGGTTGAATGGGGCACAAAGGAACATTCACAAGAATGACCCTAACACCAGATGACAGTGCATTGGCCCTTTCAATAACTGACCCTGACCCCCATCATGGACTCACAATGAGCGTCTTCTCCAGCTGGCTGACCGGGTGCGTCTTGCCACCCCACACAAGGTACTCCTTCAGCTGCGCCGCACTCAGCGCCTTGGTCCTGTAGAGCCCAGCGCTGCTGCCGCCTGCCCCTCCCTCCTCGGGGCAGGGCTCCTGCTCTCCCTCAGACGACGGCCCCCCGCCCTCCACGGTCAGCAGCATCTGCAGCAGGTCCAAGGCGGTGGAGAGGGTGGACAGGTAGTCGGAGCTGTCCTTGTGGAAGGAGGTCTGGAGACGGGTGAAGAGGGAGTGGAAGGCGCCCGGGGTCTTGTCCAGCGCACTGTACGAAAGAAGCACAGAATGTGACAAGGTAGCCTGTCACTAGCTACAAGCACTTGGATTTGTGGCCAACGTGGGAGGGGTGTAGCTTAAAACAAGTATTTTTAACTGGATCTGAGTATGAGTATGAGTATGAGTATGGATGTAATGTGATGGCATGAAAAAAATTAATGTTTATGAGTGCAATAGGAGAGTACACTCTTGAGATTAAACAAACTGAATATTCCATTCCATGAGGCAAGCAGAGTGGAACTGATCATTTAAATTGTCACCAAATGAATTTTCCACTCCATAAATGCCAAATATTTACTGTTTCACACAACACTAAAATAAATCCTAAACCATTTCCAAACGTGACTAAATTCCTTAATCAAAAGGACAGAGATTGTACCTGATCTTAGAACAGAATATTCTATTTACTCTGCATCATAGATTAGAGTTTTCTATTTCTGCTGTGCGCCATGTTGTGTCTTGGGGCAAATTTCTCACTGACATGGTCAATGACCCAACAATTAGATATAAACAGGGATTTATTCAGTCGGTATACAAAAGGCCATGGCTTAATTACTTGGCTGTGGCTTAAAACTACACACAACTCTATGGGCAGTGATTGCAGCCATTTCCATAGAATTGCGCCTAACTTCAAGCTGCAACAAAGTGGCTCTGCCAGCATGCATTAAGCCCCTAATATATTACCATTTCACAAAGAGGAAGCCATAGTCGTGGTCCAGCAGCATGGACAGGGTCCGCAGCGACGGCAGGATGCTGGCATATGACTGGTCAGGGCTGGTCACGTGATCCAGCAGGGCGGAGCAGATCATCTCCATGTGCTCCTTGCCCGGCAGGCTATTGGCCAGCTGCTCGTTGACTGACAGGGTGTCCGTGGAGAGGAGGGTGATCTCTGGACCGCAGATGGACTGCAGCAGAGCCTGCACAGAAAGGATGAGACAAGGAGAGGTTCTAGGAGGAGTATGGAATGCATCTAGGTAAAGGCCAAAGTGAAGCCAGTTTGATGTCACAACACATTTGAATTGCTGGAGATTAATGAAGTGTGTTCAACTTTTAATAGCAAATTTGGCAACACAGACATTCGATCTAACATCATAAAATTGTGTTCGTGTTCATTTTTGTGTAAACCGGCCTTAAGACTGAAAAGGATTAAAAGTTTCTAATTTCTTCCTCTTTTTTAATGTTTAACTCAAGGCCGACAAGAATCCATATATTATATAAGTTTAAAACTGATGTTTTCCTTTCAAAATCTGCTTGTACAGAGTATAGAAATGAAAGTTGAAGGTCATGCCTTGATTACAAAGTAAAATGAAAGGAAAACAATTCAAAGCAACACTAAAAACAAGAATTGTCAATCCTCAAAACACTCATAGAAGGAATTAAAGAGAGGAACGTGCAACCCAGAATCAGTGAAGATTTCTGGACAGGCTACAGTATTGTATTACGAGCAGGCCTACCACGATGCATTCCTGTGCCTGGAGATGGAACGACGAGTCTGACACAACATTCAATAAAGACAGTAGCCATGGCAACAGTTCAGAGTACTTCTCATCAGACTTCAAACTGGAAACGACAATGAAAACAAGTCTTACGTTAAATCCAACCCCGACATGACCACACCGATAACAAGCAACCATGAGCTGCTGTAAATCCAAAAAATTGCCAAAAAGGTTATTTCAGAAAGCCTCTTGGAGGAAAACTTATCAGCAAAATGTCAACTATACATTTTTCTTTAGAAAAAAATAATAAATTCCAGACAGTTTAACCCATAACTGCTCCCTCCAAAGATTCACAAAGACAACTTTTAACGTTTGAGTTCAGAGCACAGGTGAATATGAGAGGGGCCAAAATAAGCTCCATTTCAAATCTACCTTGATCGGGAGAGATTTAACAACGGATCCCTGACGGCCACCCGTGACACCAGAAACATGACCAGCATCATGAATATCCGGGGATGGGGGGCATCGAAGCTCAATTTCAAATCTACCTTAATCAGGAGAGATTTAACAACGGATCCCTGACGGCCACCAGTGACACCAGAAACATGACCAGCATCATGAATATCCCGGGATGGGGGGCATCTAAGCTCAATTTTAAATCTACCTTGACCAGGAGAGATTTAACAACAGATCCCTGACGGCCACCAGTGACACCAGAAACATGACCAGCATCATGAATATCCGGGGATGGGGGGCATCTAAGCTCCATTTCAAATCTACCTTGATCGGGAGAGATTTAACAACAGATCCCTGACGGCCACCAGTGACACCAGAAACATGACCAGCATCATGAATATCTGGGGATGGGGGGCATCGAAGCTCAATTTCAAATCTACCTTGATCGGAAGAGATGCAGCAACGGGGCCTTGATGGCAGGCTGAGACACCAGATACACGACCAGTGTCAGAATGCGAGCCGCATCGCTGTTGCATGGCTGGGTCTTCTTGTTGGCTTCCTCCCCCTCGCCGGTGGTCTCGCCAGCTGGCTGTGCCTTCTTGCCTCCCTCCTCCCCCTGGGCTAAGCTCTCAATCAAGACATCCAGCAGGGACCTGAATTTAAAGTTCATGATGAACAGCACCTCCTTCTTGGTTGTTCAAATTTTTCAGTGATTTTAGGTAAGATGAAACTGCTTCAGTTCCATTTGAAATTCTCCTGCTCAGTGAGTTCCTGATTGAAGCTAAATTATACTCAAGCAGAAAATCCTCCGTGAGTACCTGGCTAATCATGGGATGCTCTCTCTGGAAACCTGATGAGATAACCAGTTTTCCAAGCATTTTGTATTCCACCTGTTTCACTTAACTCTTGGAGCAAAAGACCGAAAATTCCCCACTGCAAGGAGGGCCATCACAGCTGACTGAGATTAACAAATCAGATGCAGAGTTTTGATGAATGATGATAACATTTGAAGCCTTTTACCTGACAACTGTTAGAGCTGTTGGTGCGGCCAGGTCAGCCAGTTGCCAGCAGACTCTGCGCAAGATCTGCTGGAGTGGGGGACAACTGCTACCTGGACACAAAATAGAAAAATCATTACTAGTGAAGCCAGATTCCAAAGATTCAGACAACTCAATTGAATCTAACGGCAGTGTCCAGGATCAAATGCATCTTTCCATACAGCGTCTTATGACTACGGCAAATGAAAGTCCCTCAGTGTGGCCTTTTAACTACAGCAAATGTGGATCTCTGAATAACTAGAATTTTCATTCTTGACAGGCCAAGGCCATTTTGCAATGTTTAGGGTACTTGCACGATTTAGAGACCAGGTAAACAGAAGCAGTGCTCCCAAGTAACAGGTGTGCAGTCACGTTTAAGCTTACTTGTGTACACAGGTTCAATAGCTATGTCCAAACTTTCTTGGCTAGGGCTGGAAATGACAGGATCTATGGGAAATGGCTACAGAAACTGGCAGTTTCCATAGGGACATGCATTACTTCAAACCGCAGCCAAATAGTTTGGACAGGGCCCATGGATCCTTGACTGCATCGGTTCCCCATGAAGCACTGAGTGTTAGCAGGCGATGGAAATGGATCACACTGTAACGCTTCTATGTAATGAACCAAAGGAAATGCAGAAGGTGCAACTGGACGAGGCATGTGCACAACATTCAAGGGACGTCGACCATTTAGACCCGGTTTGAAAAGGGCCCCCCAGTAAGCTCGCCCTGTTGCAAAAACCCCTTTCATGCTGGACTGGTTGTTGATCTCGAACTTCTCCATCCTGGGGTCTATTGTTTGCAAGTGCTGGTACATGTAATCTATCCAAGAAGGAACCTGCTTGTGGTTTTTAATCCTTCAGCACTATACAATGTTTACACTAATCTGCTTAGACCCCTATTCATCTGTGGGAGCATGGTGGGGGAAGCCTTCCATCAGGGACTTTGAAAGGCCGATGTGCAGACAGGCCTGATACCGGGCTGGAGAAGCCTGAATACCGGGCAGGCATTATACAGGGCGGGCTACCGGGGGGCCCTTTTCAAACCGGGTGTAAATGGTCACCGGCCCTAAGTGAATCCGAAATGTATTTAAAAAAGTCATCTGTGTACCTCCCAAGTCCTTGATGATCTGCTGGATGTGAACGCTCTCCGAGTGAAGGTGCAGACTCCACAGACGCCGAAGGTTCAGAGCCTGCTGGACCTCTGTGGCTGACAACGGCTGAGGAAATAAAACACAACAGCATCAGGAAAACAATGCTGTGTTACGTTGAATCTGGTTTACTTGGCAAGGGTAACACTTGACTCGGATCTTCAGGGCCACTTTGCCCTAGCACAAGACTAACTGCCACAATTTACGTCAGCAATTAGGTTAATATTCAATGCAGGACAGTTTTTTGTAAAGAGCATTGCGCATATAAGGCTCCCTTTGAAACAAAAATAGCGACAGTTGACGAACCTGCTTTGACACGTGGCGGGTCCAATCTCGTGGACCTGTCAAGCAGAAAATACCGCTTAGCAAATTAATGTGTAAGGCCAAAATTGACAGGGACTCATTCACAAGTGATACACTTGCCATAAACTTTTGGCTGCTGACATATTTTTGCTGAGCAATATGCTAAGCAGATTTATTTTAATACTAAGCTCCTTTTCAAGACCCCAGATGACCGCACACCTCACAGGTGGCTGCAGCAAACAAACTGTGCAGAAAGCTGTAATAAGTTTTAAACAATGAGTTGGAAACTGCTGGAAAAGCAGTTCAATGCTGCGTCTGGAGGTAACGACCACCAGGAGGAATGACAGCTTGATGCTAATGATGCTTGATGCCCGGCGAGAACGCACAAGACGTTGCCAAGGTCCCAAGAAAGAACAAGGCGTTTGATGTGAGGACGCTCAACAAACATTCCACGAAGTAGATGGTGGATGGCAGTATTCTCAGAAATTGTTGATCCATCGTTGAATCCCGAATGAACAGCTGCCAGGGCCGACCGGTAGTTGCGGAGAGTAGCAGTCTGGAGGCCCGAATGAAAGAGATACAAGAAAAAGTCCACAACTGAGCTTACAGAAGCTTCAGTTGGAGAAACATCGTGGTCGTCACTCCATCTAGCAGAATGTTGTATTCGACTGTTGTAAATTTTGCATGTGGAGAGTCTTTGGCCCCGTGCTGCCATGGATGCAGCATCTGCAGAAAAGCCTGACGCTCTGAACGATCGTTGGACAATGTCCAACACATCAAGTGAAGATCGGTGGGCACTGGATTCCTGACCTGGGTTGACAAAGAATATCCTCCCTGTGTGGAAGGATCAGTGGTCGACGAACCAGGAGCCTTGTGAGTCTCGGGAACCACGGTTGGCGAGGTCAGAACGGGGCAATGAGGAGAATCCAGCATGGATCTTGTTCTATCTTGGATAAGACTCTGGGAATGAGGGATATCGGAGGCAAGGCGTACGCCAGAGGGCCGGACCAATTCACCTGAAGAGCATCCGTCACCCAAGCTCGTGGGTGTGGAAACCTGGAGCAAAACGTTGGAAGATGGGTACGGTCGGCCCCTGCAAAGAGGTTGACGTGGGGGCGCTCGATCTCTGCGAAGATTTGGGTGACTACGCTCGGATGTAGAGTTCACTCCGTAGGGTGGACAGCGCCCCGAGAGAGAGCGTCTGCTATGTTATTGGACATTCCCGGTATGTGAACGGCCTGGACAGTGATCCCGTGATCGATCGCCCACATGAAAATCTGCCATGTAAGTCCCATCTTGTCTACAACTTGACGGTAAAATTTAATTTATAATCTGGGCAGGTTGCGAGCAATCTTTTATATAATTTGGTTTGTGCCTCGGCAGCAACAGGCTAATTTTCGTTTCTACTCAGCAGTTGAAAGTTGTTTTGGTAAAGCTCAAATTAAAAATGCAGTATCCACTAAATACTAAAACTGTCAAGCTCACGGTATATTTAAATGATGAACTTATGAGGTGTCCCAGCACTGAGTCCTCCATGGGCATTGCGTTGCATGAGCAAAGAATTTGGAAAAGCATGTATAATTGACTCTGCCCACTGTTTCATTACCTCCTGCGCCTGCATGGGAAGTGGCAGCGGAAGCAGTTCAGACAGCACGGTCAGCCCACCGATGTATGCACAGGCTGCAGACTGGATGTACTGCAGGACCTCCTTCAGCATGACAGTCCAGCTACTGCTTGCAATACCTGCACGGACAAACACGCTATGTAGAACCCATGCACCAAAAGGAGAGATCTGGCAATGCATTCAACAAGGAGCTGTGTCCCCCCTCCATCACGGATACAACTACAGGACCTGTTATTCCTGTAGACTTTTCACTTATGTTCTACAGGTTGCTTAATTGCTAAAACTATTTTCATCATGGGAAAAACTGACTGGAGTGGGGTTTGAATCATGACCACTGGAACACAATACCAACTTTATATCAAGCCCTATGTTGAAAGTGTCTAAATTTGTCTTTGATTACTGAAGTATTTGCAAAATTTGAGAAAATCTGAGGACTACATGATCAGTGTAGCAAGAGATGTATAAATACCACTAGTAAATAATACTTACACCCAAACAACATCGTATTTATGACGAATGACATAAATACCACAAGATAGGGATTGTGACAGTAAAAAAAGAAACCAAAGTTAACGATATGAAAGGTTGAGAAAGAACCATAGTTGTACCTTCCTCAGTGTCTGGCTGGGTGCTCGGCATCATTGTGTAACTTAACAGGATATCAATGATGTCGGACTGGATCCGCTGAGCGTCAGATGGCAGCATGATGCTACTGGGCACCGAACACAGCACCGTGTGTAACGGCAAGAGGCACGTTACCAGACGCTCATCTTTAAACTACAAGACAAAAGATTGAAAGTATTGAGTATTGTGATGTGTTGGAGGTAGTTTAGCGAGCTAACGTCTCCGGACAAACTCTGTACTTGGCTGACAATTTTGCTGAAGGACTATGATTAGTACAGCTCGAGATGCAAACTTTTCAAAATGAAAAAGTGTAATCCTATTGCACTTCCAGTTTCTCGACCAATCCTAATTTTTTGCCTTGACCCTAAAAATTTTCAGCAGCAAATTAGAAAAAAAATGAAAGTTTAAAACATCCTGTTGTCTTTTCTTTCAAAATAAGTATCTGTCAACAACTTTTTTTCATGTCAACACACTTGTTTTTACCTGACTAGTAATGTGCAAGTGTAAATTGCAATTAACGGTTGATTATGTTAAGTTTTTATTATAATCACTTTTGTGGCTATTTTTGGCAACTTTCGTCCCATTCAATCAGCACAAAAACTTGTCAAAAAATCCTTACCAGACCCTATTTAATCGGAAGCAGAGCAATTTTTTCTAGGCCTATCTAATGTGCTTCTCGGTGTCGTAAGATCCAGCATGGGCAATATTTTTCATACCACAGTTACGTGCGTTGCAAAACATGTAAGGTTCTCCATGACAAGACTTTGCAGTAAAGGCCCATTTTTGTGGTGTATTTGTCCCTGAACTTTAACTCACTTATTGCCGTTGTGCAAATCAAGTCCAATTGCTCAACAAATATCCAAGAATCAAATTCTCAACAGCTCTCCACTCCAGTCAATTTTCAACACGATTCTGATGTTCAACACATGCGTGTACAATATCGGTACACGTATAATGCATGGACATGCACAATCACATTGCATATGCAGTGCAATCGTACCTATTTGCCCCCATTCATCATAACGTTAATTGGGGCAAACGGGTGATTCAACCACGCTGGTTTCTACCACTTCTCACGCAGCTTGTATGCATAAACAGCGGGATGCCAGCGACACATTTCAGACGCGCGCATTACCAGGCCGGCTTAGTGCTAGCTTACACAGATTTTATACACAACTGTATGGTTTTGTACCTTCGAGTTGGAAATCGTAAAAATCTTAGTCGGAGTCGTACACTCATAAACGGACTAAACAAAATCGTAACAATTATGCCTAAATCCTACAAGTTGGCATCTCTGCAGCTCTGTCCTCCCAAACATTCGAAGTTGTTGATACAGAAATGAAAATAACTTCAGAAGACACATCTTCTGACAGGAAACTCAAACTCACCTGCACTGAGCCAGTCGTGAGTAGCTCGGACAGCATGACCTTGACGAGCTGCAGCGCAGGTGACACCAAGGCTTCTACCAGGTGGACCTGAGTGGTTGAAAGGGAGTAACCTTGCTGCCACGGTCGCAAGAGGCGATCACCGAGCCTCTGTCATGAACAAGAAGGAGGAACAACATCCGCCATGCGGTTAACTCTTAGAGTAATGTCTTATATACCAGCTTGACACAAATATTTGATCTTTATGTGACACGCCACGGTCCATGCTACCAGACAGACGCCACATAATTTCCTATTCTGGCACCTGCCCATGAATGAGCTGACTACCTTGATGATGTTAATGAAAGCGTTCATGGCACTGGAGGAGTAGAGCTGGATGACAGCAAGCTTGTACTGAAGATCCTTCTGGCAATCTATGAAAGAGAGCAAATGATGCATTTGCTTGAAATCTGAACCAACGTTTTGAACAGGACTCTAAAGAAAACATGATTTCTGTATATTACCTTCCCAACAAAGTTTTACAGAATATTTCTGAATGCTCCAAAACTGACTACTGTATAGGAAACAAATGAAACGTTTGATGTACTTTTCAAAGGGCATCCAACCAAACTTTAAAGAATGGCTACGATGCACATTCCTCAATCCTACAAAAGCCTACAAAAACATACTAATTCCAATGGAATTCCAGGCTCCTCCCAGAGGGTATGATTTCCTCCATCCCTTTACCCCCTCCCCCCTGGTTTAATGCCAGTGTGCCTCACCTCCTCTCTGCATATCCAGTGGGGCGCAGGCCAGGTGTCTCAGCACCCTCAGGCAGGTAACGATGCCTGGTCCCGCCCCAAGGAGGTTGTGACCCAACTCGTCGCTCTCCTTGTTGATGTAGTCGATCATCTTGCTGATGCAGTCACCGTCCAGCTTCACGCCTCGGATGGGGTTCAACCATTTGGACAAGGCTGCAGACAAAGCGTGAAAAACCAAATCTGGATAAATCAAATATAGATTGAGCAAGCTTGATCAGTGACCACCGGTATTGCAGTCGAATCTGTCACAAGTCTTTCAAGTTTTCACAAGACCCTTCACCAGTCCAGCTACGGGTAATTCGACAAGAGCAGTCACAATCAAAAGATTAAACAACAGACAGTTTCGGCAAACAGAAAATGCGCACGCGTATCACAAACCTGTGTCTTGTTCGCTGATGGCCTCATCACCATAGGCCGTCTTGTTAAACATAATGCGGAGAAGCCCGACTGACAACAACATATGGAAGCAACTTGGTATGAAATCGGTACGTATGAAGTTTCGGTTTTGCACACACATTAGTACCAAACTGTATTCCTAAAAACAAAAATTTCTTCTTGCAAGACTAGATGTGCAATTTCTTTTGATAGCAATGCCTTTGAGTTAAATTTGAGGAGAACAAATTTAGTTTTTTTAAAAATCAGGGCCACCAATGTTGCTACGTACGGACGTGCGAGTCATGCCGAAACCACATTTTTGCAACCTTATACGTACCCGTGTATGCACTGTGTTACGTGGATATATGCACGGACACAAACAAATTAACTTGGATACCAAAACTGTCTAATGAGAAAGGAACGCTCTAGTCACAGCTCATCTACATGTGATGGACTAGTGGGGACATTAAGACGGGCACAACTACAAAGCAATGCATGTAGCCATCGTTTGGCAAGCACAAGGGTTTATCCGCTACGAACACAGGGTGAGGGTTCCCTTCATTTTCTCTCTTTTCTCAGAATGACGCAATCTACATTCAGAATTCGCATCTTGGCATGAACAGGAAAAAGCCCTTTTCAGCTTGTTACACTTCAGCTCTGAAGACAAATGACACTGCATTCGATTTGGATGATTTCATAGAAATCATAGAAAAACATGTTTTCCTTTAGAGGTGCTGTTTAATATCTTAATGTGTTCAGCGCTGTTCCACATACCTGCATCTCCCATACAGCCCAGCTCCAGTTGGACCTGGTAGGTACTCAGTGCAGCAATGTTCTCGTTATACTGGACGACGCAAGACAGGACTTGCATGGCATAGCCGTGTGATGCCGTCTTCCTGGATTTGGTCGGGCTCTCTCCTCGCTCTGGCGGTTGTGAAAGTGCGAGAGTTTAGCCATTCGGGCAAAAAGATTAAACACCTCGCAGTTCAGTCTGCGTGTGTAAAATCAACCGTCAATCATTATGGTCACTCTTTTGATTGTGTTCACATAAAGGAATATGTCTTGGTGTCCACCTAATTGCTTTTCATGGAAAGATCATCAGCGATTGAACCATGTGACTTTTTGTTGATTACTGTCTCTGGGTTCTAAGGCTGGGGAAACAGACGTTTCAATGAACAGGCCGAGTAGAACTGGGGGCTAGGATTAAGTGCTGAGGAGGAGAGTTGGGAAGGCAGAGAGGGGTTTTTGATGGCAGCATTCAACCTTGGATGCTGAGTAACAGTTGATGGTGCCCCCGCTGCTGGCTCTATATAAGTTTATCTGGAATGCAATGCACTCATGCAAACAGTGTCAAGTTGCCATTCCAGATGGTCAAATTATAGTTGGTCAATGGACCAAGTGGATGACCTTGTGCATGTCCCACCTCAGTTGACCTTGATGAGTTAAAGACCAAAAGCTGATGATGTCCAATCACTTCTTGCATCCTTTGCAAGTATTTATGCCAACGTTGGCAATTTCTCATTAGAAATGTTCAAAAAGATCGCTAACACGAAGCACGCTCCCCAAAGTCTCACCTTTAGGTTCAACGAAGCTCAAGAGGCAGTCCAGGTTGTCCCCCATGGTGAAGACGTGGGCCAGTGCCATCCGGCCGGCTGTGACGAAGCTGACAGAGCACAGCCCCCGCAGGACCTCCACTGCGTCATTGCTATTGGGGTCGGGGTCCTGCCCCCAGGAGTCCGAACCAGGCCTGCCCACAGCCTGCCGCAGCTGGTCGCAGTACTGCAGGCAGGCCAGGCTGTGCAGCAGCTGCAGGCCGGCCTGCTGCAGGGGGCTGGCCCCGCCCCCTCCCCCATCCTCCTGCTGCGGGGAGTCCTCATCCAGGCTGGCCGTCAGGCACTGGCAGAGGGCCTTGGTGGCCGCTTGGTTGGCCGAGAAGAAGAGCAGGCCTGGTTTGGAGGGAGATGGGTGGGTTGGGGAAAGAACAGAGTCACACCAGGCTTCCGAAAATAGGAATATCATTTCCTTTCTCCTCATTCTTGGTCAAGGGAAACACACATTCGGTGATTTCACAGAAATTGTGGTCTTGCAAGTACCAGTACCCAAAAAGCTAGACACAAATGGAATCCATTTGCAATGGCGCATACTTCCACACCAGAGGTGGGGTCCCACTCATGCAAACGATGCCAAGAATTCAAATGGGACGTGCATGAAAAGATCATGTGAAGCCCAAGCAAAGAGCCACTGACTTTCTTGCTTTACAGATTTTGGTCCACAATCAGTTTGAATGTGCTTTTTGATTTACAGCAAAAACTAGCATGAGGTTCTACCTTTGAGTGACTTCATGATGGCTGTGAGTAACTCCACTGCGGCACTCATAATGCTCTCGTTACCTGAGGTGGCAGGGCAAGACACTAGCACCAGGAGACTTTCCAGGAGTTTCCTATAACGTTTAGGAGAAAAAATATTCAAATGCTACTATAGTGGAAGTCCACATCACACTCCAAGCCCAAGGTATGCAAAGCCAATCTTTCTATGTGCAAATGGTAGCCTCTAATTCACTCCATGTATAGTCTTTGCTGACACGGTAAAGCGTCCTCCTAAGCCCTTTCTGTGTGTGTGAGTTGGTTCCTGTATGCGATTGGGAACCCTGAACAATAGAGGACAATAAGATCCCTGATTGACAGAGGGGCCCCGATTG